GTTTTCAGCGTGCCCGCTCATTGCGAAGATATCTTCCGTGCTTCTCTACAGCGAGGGGAAAGATTTCTGTGAATTCCGAATCCGGATGCTGCATAGCCGGCAAAGTATTTCTGTGCCAGGTGGTGCACGCGGCCGATCCTGTATCGATGGCCGGGACGAGTCGCGTCAGATTTATGCCGTTCCGAACGTGGCGAGAATTCCACCGAATTCCCGCGAATCGGTACTTCCTTACAACTGCACACGCATAAAGAAGATACAACGTATCAGCTTAGTCTTAATTGTATTTTTTATGTTGAATTTTATCAGTATTTATAAATAATTACAGTAATCGTTTTTTTCAGTTTTTTTCAATTATAATGTTCTTTAATATTCACAAAGGAATATTAATGAACATTATAATATTGCTTATAATAATTATTGCTCATAATATTATATAACATATAACATTATAATATTGCTAAATTATTGCTTATAATTATATTTAATGATTTAGTCTTTATATTTTTTTATTTATAACGTATTATAAGTAAGGATGTTTTAATTTTTTATCTCATGATTCATGAAAGCTTGCTCACAACAGTTGAATATAATTAGCATATGCTTTTAAAAAAAAATAATTTGCTCATTGCTGAATTAAAAAAATCACAGTTTATCTACATTAATTATCAAAGCTTAATAAATTACATTAATAAATCAAAGTTGATCTAATCCATCTATCTATCATAATCACAGTTGCTAATGCATTATTCTAGATGTTCTAATATTATTTAATGTTTTAATAGTGTTTATTATTTAATGTATTAATATATTTAAACTTTTAAATTTGTTATATTTATTTGAACTGCGAATTGAATTGGTACTTATACACACCTCTCATAACATACTCATTACATTTTAGGGACAAATTAATCCTCGATAGCATATAAGGAAACGCATTTCGAATTCTAACATGCGGTTTAAGCCGCTCGTTTGTTTGATCGTCGGTATTGTTTGTCGTCGACGCTAGTTTCATCGTCGTCACAAGCGTCATCGAATTCTCTTAAGTCTCGCAATCAACTGAATCGTTAGTCGCTCTTAGCTGATTCTCTAGATGTTTGCTTCACCCATCCGATCCAAATGGATGTGCAAGGCGGTACGAAGCGGATTTAATTAAATTCGAGATGACGCTCAATACCACCGGCGTTCTCTACCTTCCCGAAATATTACGAGGCATCGAAACTATTTCGCAGTTGGGATAGAGGTATATCTAAGTTACGGACTCGCTATTGGTCTGGAATTTATAACATAATTAATTGCTTATAATTAAGAGGATTAAGTACGATATAAAATAAATAAATTTAAAGTTATATGAAATAATTGAGTTCCAGAAAAATGCCAACAGTACACGATGTTCCCAAACAGTCATCATTTAAGTTCTAACCGTGTCTACATTGCTCAACTTAAATGATCGGACGAGAACTTGTACGTTTAACGTTGATGAAAATGGCTTCTTTGTAAAAGATGACATATTTCTTCATCAAATTTCTTCATTGTGATATATATGATCTTTTATGATTGTTATTTCGAAGATAATGTCTTTATTAACGGAAGAGAGATTTTAATCTTTTTTTTTCTTTCTAAAAATTCTAATATGATAAATTCTGTTTTTATAATTGTACTTAACATAACCAATATACTTATTATTACTTGTTCAATGTTTGCTCTATATACTTAAAGCTTCGATTAATATTCTCTCTGAATTATTCGTTGACTTTGTTGCAGTCTGTTCTGTTTTGCAAGTTCTATTAGATTGTAAATTTTCTCGTCACGCGAGATTGCCGAGGTGATTCTATCTCGGCTTCAAAAATCTTCGTAAACAGGCTCGCCGTTGGCGTAACGTCGAGAAAACGTGGCATGTAAATAGAATCCACCTGTACACACACCTGCCACAACTTTCGCATTGGCCCTTATCGCGAGATACCTTCTCGTGAGAACCGATCTACATTGCGGCCTGCAAACTTCGTCGGTTTTCATGTAATCGTTCCGTAAGCGAACCGCAGTCTAAACTTTGCTCGCTCAACACTGAAGTTACGCCGTGGCGAAAATAATGAAAATAAGTGATGCGAAGCAAACAGCGTGACGACGGAGACGATCATCGTTTACCAGGCCATTGATCAGTTACGATTGACTAGACTATTATCACATAAATGAAAATGTCAATGTGCGATATTTTATGATCTAATTTTTCCCTTTTGTGGATATGACTTTAAAATCAATCGCAATAAAAGCAAAATGAATAATTTTATTCATATTAATTATAATGAACAATTACATTCATGGCGATATAATTGCATATCACGTTATTCTGTTTTTATTTCTATTCTGTTTTATTATATTTACAATTTAATAATGTATATATTATTATATTTATTCCACACACACACACACACACACACACACACACACACACGTTTAATATATCTTTTACATCATGCGTAATATATCTTTTACCTTTTATTAATTAGTTTTCTTATACCTTCTGAAAATTCCGACATTTGTAAATTTTCAAATGCATTCAGAGTTTACTGCGAAAATAAAATTTAACTTCGCGTAGTTTCCTTTCATGCCCATGACGGCATATATGAAGCTGCGGTAAATGGTATCCCGAGCTTTAATATATTAAAACTCACGGTGCCGCGCGCTTGATTCCCTATTTAGCTTATCGCGGGCCTTTGTCACAGACACTAGGAATACCGTCAGCGTGTTTGCCTCATGATTTTGCACGTAGCGACCTATCCGTTGCATGTGCTTGAAAGAGGAAGGGAAGGACGTTAGATTGCGGATTGCAGTCGCAGCGGTGGCCGGCGGCAGTCCCGGAAATTGCAACTGCAAGCGGACTGGCTCGTAAACTCGGGAAATTCGCTGACGCTCTCGTTGCGAGACGAGAGAGGAATGAGCGAAGCGCATCAGGAGCCAACCGAGAGGAGAGGTCGCCTTGCGTGGATCAAGTCCGTCGTAATTTCTTGTCGCGTCCTTCGGTCTGTCGTAAACTTTAAGTGAATTAGAACGCAAAAGCGGTAATGGGTCCGGGAAACTTAACATGTTTCATGTCGAGGAACTCATTCGATTTTCGATTTTAAGGTTTGTCGTAAAAGAATTGAGGTAATTTGTTGAAAAAAATTGTCTGCCTTCTCAAAACGTGATAATAAACTATAAGTATAATGAAAAATCTTCTTCGGAATAATAAATTGGAAAAAATAATGTATCATAATTTGAATATTATTTATTATTTTTGTAACTAATACTATATCTTAAATAGAATTAACATAGTTTTATTTCTTCAAATATAATGAAATTACGATTACACAGCAATATCGATTTTCTTCAAGCATAAAATTATTAGAAAAATTTATCTTCAGAATTTTAAATTTCTATACTTTCGAGTAGCTCTCTTTTTCAATTTATAATTTTGTAACTAAATTTTATAAGAACGCTAAATTTCAAATTTTATTCTTTTAAGAATCAAAAGCTCGAATATTTATGTGGAATTCAAACAAATTGCTGTCGCAATTATGTTAGAAGACACATAATTAAAGAAAAAACTGATGCAAAGCTGCAGTAAACGCTCGCGGCATGAGAAAATCGCTTTTAAAGTTCGAGGCCGTGCCGTCGCATCAAATTTCCTGAGAAGTCTCTACATCGAGGTAGAGAGGTCGGGAAATTTTTACGAGATGAGCGAAGGAAACGCTGCCGGATAGGTCGGCATCCGGTTTAATTCTCAGAGATTCTAGCCGAGCGAGTCATTACACAGGATGTATCGTCGTCTTTCTGACTTTCCACGATTTAATACAGCTTTAATGGCATTAACTTTATTGAATTCTGGCTTTGTCAGATCACCTTAACTGCGTTTACAGATATTTTACCGGGTATTTTTAACTAAACAAATATCTTTTTATCTTTATAAATTCCTATTTTATTTTAGTTAAAGATTTAATTCATATTTTGCGCGGTGGGGTTAGGTCGTAAAAAATTTTGTAATCATGAATCATGTACTTTCCAATTAGCCTTTGTTAATAAGTAAATATTTGTTTTTTATATTTAAAATAAAACTATTTTAATTTTCAGAAAAATTTAATAAAGTAAAATACGTTATAGTTAATATAGTTTAAATTGAAGTTTTTTTTTTTACTGCTTTTTTATTGTAGCAGTATTCAATTATAACTTCAACAGTGAAAAATCATGTGAATTTTTTCTCTTACATTATACATCAAAATTAATTTATTACACATTATTATTTTTGTATAAATTAATGAAATATACTTTATTATTTATTGTTTTTATAAATAATAAAATTAGAAGTAACTAAAGGATTGTTTTCAAAAGGAAATTCTTTTCGAAGTTCTAAAAAGTATCCGTGTATTTTACAGTCTCTTTGGAAATCGATGTAATTTGTTTTGGAAACAGTTTGAATGTAAATAATATACTGTACTCGATTGAGTTGGAAGTTCTGTTCCTCGAAGCACGAATTTCTGTCGCGATTAGACAGTCGATCGATCCTGTAATCGCTGGACATCGCTCTCTCTGAATTACAGAGGCGTTGCACAGTCAGCCTTGTAATAGCGTGTGTAGCTACCACGATGTGCAATCAATAGATAATAATTGGCTCTCGGATGCATACGTGTTACGCAGGAAGCGATATATACCTACTCACGGACTCAACATTAACTTTGAAATCGTTGATGTAGATCGATCCCAAATTAACATTAATTATAGATTTACATTTAATATCAGATTATACGTGACGCAAAAGGCGCCCGAAAGAAAATAAACCTGTGATATGAGTCATATCATCATACTTATCACCATACTTATAAAAATGCATCGATAATCAGCCACTTTCGTGCGAAGTGCCATTATTTATCAGATCAAATACTTAATTTTTGTTGCATAAATTTTTTAAACCTAATTTTTAATGTATTTATATACATTCTCATATTTCTTATATTTTTTTTGTATTATAGATACGCGGATCGCTCGTATAGAACCCACCCGCGTGGCTTGATCATATATGGTCAAGCAACCGTTGTACCAAGTTTAGCCGCGGGTGGCAATGTATCTTCGACGACGATACTCTCAATACTGGCCAAGGGCCTCTCGAATTCATCCAAATCCGAGCCGGTGCCGATCAGAAATCTGGTTGGCAGTGGAATCACACGAGAGCTTCCGGTGGCGAACGCGACCAGTAACGCGACGATCCCACGGTGTCCCCTCATCCCACCGAATTTGGGTAAGTGAAAAAATTGACAGAGATATTAATCTTTAACCAATCGAGAGAGTTTTTATACAAAATTAAAACTTATGTATCGTGAAATCGTTCTGAGAAGCTCTGTTTTACGATTTCAATTTACTGCGCTTGAACTCGGAAATGAGTTATAGAGGTAAACAGATTAATATGCAAATATTAAAAATGTAGATATAGATTTGCAATCGTTCAATATATTCACATATATTCCTATATATGCATATTAGAAATTATAACATTTCATTTTTATTGCAAAGGTAACGGATATTATAGATTGAATTCGTCAAATAAAAGTGAAATATGTATAGATAAATATCCAACTCTGCAAATTTCGCGCCGAAATAATTTTTGATCTTAAAATACAATCCTAAACTGAAACTGGGATATAATATCATAAATTGAGCAATTTAATATGTTTATTAGCATCAATGATATTGATGTTAATAAGCATTTTAAAAAACTAAATAATTTATTGCGAAAAATATTACCTCAGCCAGAATTCGAACCTTCCTACGTTCCGTGGCAATTATCTACTAATTCTCGACTACTGAGGCTTGGTATTTCTCGCAATAATTATAGAACTGGATATGTACATAAATTCAAAATATCATTTACATTAAGATCAAGCTCAAACCGATAAGATCTTATATCACTTAGTTTCGTGATCACATGCAGTCTAATGTCATTATTATTAAAGTATGTATACTTTTTCTTTTCGCGCTTTTCGCTCTTCTTCAATCCCCTATCTCTTTAATCCTCTATCTCTTCTGTTTCCAGTTGGACCGGTGATCGTCAGTAAATCACCACCATCATTGTCCGAGATGGAAAAGTCACTCTTGGAGGTGAAAGCAGGCGGCATAGGTCGGCCCGCAGACTGCGTCGCTAGGCATCGCGTCGCAATAATCATTCCATTTCGCGATCGACCGCAGCATCTGCAGACTCTCCTCTACAATCTGCATCCAGTCCTACTGCGTCAGCAGATCGACTATCAGATTTTCGTGGTTGAACAGGAAGGTGAGTGAAACTCGTGAGCGTCACAGCCATTGACTGGTTGCACATCCATTTCTTCGTCTCTCACAGAGGCGTTTTTGTGCACGACAAGTTTCAGCGTAACCGTAGTTTTTAGTGTGCTTGTTGCGAAAGTTTTCGAAAACATTTTGATCCTTTTGCGGTCAGAACTGATTTTAACAGATAAGACATCAATACATTCTGTTCTTTATTGATGATTAATCAAATTCTTTACACTCCTTTTTGATATGAGGTTCCGATTTTTTTTCAATGTTTTTTTCAATGTGGTTTCCATTGCTTATAACTTTTTTATCAATAAAAATATATATACATTTGCTTAGTACCATTATATTTCTTAAAAAAGATATCTGGCATTTTAATTAAAAAAATATTTACAAGACATTTATTTTTATGAAAGTTATAAGCAACCGAACCGGGTTAAATATGCACCAGTGTGTTCCTTAGTGTGGTGTTTAAGAGTTAAATACGTACGATGAATATTACCGAAATTGATAAGTTATACGTTCTTTGATGTAATCTTTCGACATAACGTTCACTGAAAAAAAAAAGGATCAATTTCAAATCGCTGCTTGAACGATATTTCAGCGTATCGAAATCGTAAATTCTTATTCACCCTGAGCATCCCAAATATACGCGACTGACACGTGCATTCCGGTGTTTCGATAACATCCTCCGGAGCATACGGTTTGTTTCCGTAGAGCGAATATAAACGTACGATCTTCTCCGGACCTCTCCTCCTCGTTGGTGCGTGTAAGCCGATACTTCGCTACGATTTATTGCCGTCTAGCGGACGTTTCTCTTGCTCGCGTATTTTCCTGCTTGTCTCCTCGAGTGGAGATCCTCCTATCCAGAGGAAAATGCCAGTAGAACAAGAGTTGGGACGTTCGAACGGAAGAGGCTGTTACAAAGTTTCTGTCGTACCCTGTAAGCTCTTAGACTTAATTTTTAATTAAATTTGTGTACGTCCTTCATATCTCTCGCTCTTTCACCGATTCTACAACTCGAGTAATCGGTCGACCGTAACAACGCGTGGACTCTCAAGGGAAACGACACGAAATAATTTTACCGACACGGCACTGATTATATTTTAATAAAATTTTTAAAAACTCTCAAAATTTATAACTCTCGCTTGGATGCAGTATATTTCTGTTATAAAAAATAAAAGAATTAAAGTCTATGACGATCGAAGCTAGATCTTTAATGCTTAAATAATTCAATGTGAATTATATATTATATATACTGTATATGTACATGCTGTATATATATATATATATAGACACCATATTTATAGTCATTCGAACTGCGCGCCGAATTGATTTTCCGAACTTGTAGACGCAATTAAAACTATTGGAATAATATCACGAATTAAATTGAATTAACAAGCAAATTTTAATAATTTTGATGTTCAATCCGGTATCATATTAGAAGGATGTCAATGTGCTGAAAAAACTGTGAATAATGCATGTACATATATAGTATATATATATATAATTCACATTGAATTATTTAAGCATTAAAGATCTAGCTTTGACCGTCATAGGCTTTAATATTCTTACTTGTTGCGTATTTACAGTGCGGTCTTAATAAAATCATTTATTATATTTCTGTTAATTTATTTAATGATGGCACTGCTCGAAAATACATTTTCGCAAAAGAGTCCTCTCTCAGTCGGCCTGCGCCTTGACATCGTCGGTTTTACATCGTAAAGGTATTCCTTAAATCTTTATCACCAAGTTATGAATTATATTATGGGCTGCTTTTATGATATGCTCTGAGTGAGGTTGATACAGATCGCGGTAGCACGAAAAAGAAATAAAAGATAGAAAAGATTATGAATATATGCCATCTTGATGGCAAATCTTTATATCAAGATTTCAAAATTCTTCTTTCTTTAATTATAATTACATGTAATTATAAATGTAAAACCAAGCATACAGTAATAATTAATACAGGGAGAATATATTTAAAATTATTTTGAGTAGCATAGAAGATTTGATAAATTATAAGTTTTTAATATATTTCAAATAATTTTTGAAAACATACATAAAATCTTTTGAATTACTTGATTCTAAACAATTTATTGCTTATCAGAGAGTTATTTTCGACTAGAATAAAAAAAATGTTAAGAAAATTATCTTACTTATCTTAGAGATAATATCTTCAGTCGGGATGCACACGGAAAAAATTTTTTCTTAGAATTTACCCTGAAAATATGATAATCGTGAGCTGCATTTCGAAAAATTTTAATGTAAATCTCTCTCATTCATTAATAAAAATATAATAAAGTGAAAAATAAGTTTGATTAATTTTACTGAAGTGCATAGTAAAAATCTTTAAAATATTGTATTGTATCACAATTACCATATTTTCAGAGTAAATTTTAAAAGATAATTCTCTCCATGCAGGATCTATCATTCTATTGAATCGCTTAAGAAAATGCGATTTATCTTGGCTATCGAAAGGCTGCGAGCAAGTTCACAATTTATCTTCATTAAAATTGCTCGACTAAGTTTGTTTACTTACCGCGTATGCGAGACGTCAAAATATGACTGTGATTAATTCTCTTGTTATTCCACGGAGTGCTTCTGTACACTTCCGGTGTGTATGATGCACAATGAAACTACATGCGAAGGAAGTTTCGTAACAATGTGAACAAATTTGTCGCTAGATAATATCCGATTCGGCATTGGAGTTGATTTTACTGTATCGTGTATTTCGCGAGTTTCTAACATATGTCGATAGAAAGCTAAAAAAATGAACAGTTATAAAAAGTCAGATATCATTAATATTAATGAGTAAGAGCAACATTGTCTTTGTGGATATTAAATCGAAATTAGAGAAAGAATATTCAAAGTTCTCATTCGCATATAGTGTGCACGAATCGAATATTGTATTTAAAATTCATATATACCTATATGTTCATTTGCTATTTCAAATGATCTCAGATCGGTTTAACTGAGCAATATTATCTCCGATGCTCGTCCATTTTATTATACATTCGAAACGTCTCTCGAAAATGTCGGTGCAATTTAATATAGTTTTCGCTGAAAAGTTTCGAGTATGGAATTCCTGATGGAATCCTAAATCCGATTTTATTCGCATTTCTCCGCTCGGTATGCGAATGAATATACAAAAAAAGAGAGAGTTGTTGCATAATTTTTCATCATGGTCACATGTTTCGTAGCAAAAAGCACTAAATGGAACATTATCGATATTTATGGAAGCAGATACGTATTACGGCAAATATACGTTGACATCAATCAATTTACATAAAATAAGGATTAATATCGAATAGACTGAAAGATAGAAAATTAACAGAATAATTATTTATTTTCTTATAAATTTTAATTCCTTGTTTTTTTTTTAATAAACTGAATGAGACTTTTTTTATTACAGCAATATTTAAAAGTCTTTATTCTTTATTTCTTTACAGCAAATCGAGAAATAATTGTTGGGATAATTTAAGAGATTTTATTCAATAGTCGTGAAAAGATTTGTCACTGCAAAAGTATTCGAAATCGATTGCTATTATAACCCAATTTGCGTTAATTTGCTGCAAATCGTCGAAGAATGAATTTTCTTGCGATAATTTAATAAGGATAATACAATGCCATTACTCTATCCTACGATCTTCTCGAAGCGAATAAAGAAGGATTCTTCGTCGTGGAATTATTTCAATCGGATTGCTATTATGTCGTAACGACGTTAATTTACGGCAGATCGCTGAGCAATGAATTCTTGCGATAATTTAACGAAGACGATATTTCACCGGCGCCGGTGCGATTAATTACAGCGAAACAGCAACGATTTATTCTCACCGTTGCGCTGCGCGCGATTCCTTAGAAAATGCGCCAAACTCTTACTCACTGTCAGGCTACTCTCGAAGACCCAGCGTAAGTCAGGCTTTAGCGCTATCTAATCCTGCAAGCCTGAGGGACTAACATTTTCCCCGTGATTCCCGTAGCCGACGACATAAGTCATAGTTACATATTTGTATATGCAGCAAGAGTTGCGGGTACATACAATCCCAAATATTCAAAAGCTCGGTTAAAATTCAAAAATTCTCGCCGTTGTATGTAGATATTTTTTCTGCAATCAATTCAAGGATTTGATAGGATTTGAGAGTAATTTAATTCATTTGTTAGAAACTCGAAAACATTTTTATCTAAAATTACATCGAAATAGTTTATTTAATGAAAAAATAACAGTAAAAATAATAAAGAGTATAAAATGTTATTTATCCACTTTTTCTTTCAAGAAAGAATATCGTTTACATCACGCAAATGCAGATGTAGTATTTTAAGTCAAATTATCTCGAATTTACTGAGAACGTCGTGTAAGAATTTATGAACCATTATGCTAAAGTACTACAATAATAAACATGAATTTAAGTTTATTAGTGTAATTTTTTAAATTTTAGCCAATTTTTGTGGCAAGTGCTAGTAAAATTTACCATGATAATGTCACACAGAAATACATCGTCGATTTATACTGTTCTTAATGTTTCTACTTGGTATCTTTCGAAAGTGCATTCGCATAATCACAAAAAATGAATCGAATGGATCATGATTATCGCGAACGCAACCCGCATATCTGCCATGCGGCGGTGGATACCGTTACGATCCACGTACGTGCAAAGTCACGACCATTTATCGTCAAGTCGAGCTTAATCTAACCAGTCATTCGTCAAGACGAAGCACCTGCGCGTAAAAGGATCAACTAACGAATCGATAAAACGAAGTAAATTTTATGTGCAGTTATATAAATATGTAAAAATAATATATGAAATAAAGTATTAGATGCATTTAATATATATTGGTATTATCATTATACTGGATGGAATACATTTGATAGAATAAAAAATATAATTTTTTAATCCTGGTATGTATTAAAATGTCTATCTACACTTAAATTTCTTGCAGTGAAATCTCACTCCAAAAAAGTGAAAGTATAACCACGCTTGAAAAAAAGTGAGAATATTTCAT